GGAATTAGAGATAATTTAGGAGAGAAACTCTCTACTAAATTAGAGATAATTTTGAAGATAAATAGGAATTAGAGATAATTTTGGAGAAAGTGGGGGAGGTAGTTTAGGAGAAGAGATTATTTAGGTTATTGAGAAAGTACTTCTCATTGATTGTTTCAAAAATGACATGGAATTAAAAAAATAAAAAATTCAAAAAAGGAGGAAATAGATAAATAGCTTCTCTCAAAGGAGAAACATGCTAACACGGCAGGACCAGTTTTAATATATATATATATATATATATATATATATATAGAAACGATCACCCCAAGAAGCATGATCTTTCTGTTCAAATCAATTCTGTATTTACTTCTTTAGAGGATTGAAGCCTTTGCCACAAGATTCAACAGAAAAAAATCGTATGGCCCTTTTTGCATTAAGACAAATCAATACTAAAAAAACGGAAAGAAGGGAAACGAATACTTATGCAATACACCATTTGGTGAAGGATGGAAGCTGAATTCAGTGTAATTGACCATTTGACTTACAGTTTTCCCTATGCTCTAAGGTTGTATTTGTTTTGAAGGAAAAAGTAAGAAAAGGAAAAAAATGTAAAGAAACTTTTATAAATCTTGTATAGGTTTTCTTATGTTTTCCTTCCTTTCTCTACTTTTTCCTTCAAACCAAACATAACTTAACCGAGGTGGAATTCATATATTTGGTTCTTTGAGTCGAAGGCTCAAACAAATGTTCAATGTGATAAATTTGATCTTGCATCGGAATGATGATATCTTGTTGAAATTTTTATGCTGTTATGCGGGAGACCGGATCTGTTCTATTTATTAATTATTATTCATGGGAGATATTCTCAATGCATGGTGGATGTGCAGGTTAGGCGCCCATTTGTGAGGAGCAGATCCCGTCGCGTTTATCGAGAAGACAAGGTGATTACTGAGGTGGGGCTGTGGGGAGCCGGAGAGCCAAATTCGGCCTGCTGGTATGGGGGATTGGGATTGGGTCCCCATTCCCCAACAACCAATAATATTGGTAGATAGAAACACGTGGCATTTTAAAGAGAATTGGTGCATTAATCATCTACCACATGTTTGTATAGAAAAATTACAACAGAAAAGCACGCAGTTCTAGGCATTGCAGGCAGGGGACATTGACAAGAGAGAAAATGGTTCAGCGTCAACTCTCACTAACCCACCAAGCCAATACAACTCTGCTTTTGGCTTTTCGGTTCGATAGGAAGAATATATAGGGATTGCTTCATCTGCCACCACGGCGGAGCTCGGAGTGGAGAATAATGCCAATAGACCGCTGGACTACGACTACGATGGATCATGGATGTATAGACAGACCACCTAAAGATAAGCAGAAGATGAAGATGTACACTGTCACATAATCAATGGAAGTGCATGGTAAAAAACTAAAGATATGCTGAAGGATCAGAAATTCAGAACCCAGAGTGGCGAGCAGCTGATCCGGGCACCGGGCTCACCCACACCCGACCGAAAAGAAAATCAGAGTCCTACTTTCCCACTTCCTACTTCGTACACTAGATAATGCAATATCAATAAATTGCTACTGTTCCTTCATATTTCTTTCCTGCTTTATATTTCACCGCCGATATTTACCACCACAAAGGATCCAAGTCATCCAACCAACCAACCCAGACGACTAATGAGCTAAAGTCTACAGATGATTATATAACAGGGAGCAAATTTTCCCCTCTGGGACTAATTCACAATTTCACATCATCATCATAGCCATCATTATCATGGCCATTCTACATAAATGTAATGCTAATAAATAAATGAAGAAACAGAAAGAAGCTTCTTCATTGATTCTTATACCTACCAGAAAGGTGAATAGAAAAGAAAACGGAGGCCGAGGAACCAAGAAATTGGTTCAGCTGACACGTGCCTCCAAGCATCATGCATCCTCCTATGTCTCCCTTACGGGGCAATCGAATCTGTACCCTACTCCAGTACCGGTAGTACTCCTCTCTAATTTTCTGGATTCCCTACAGTAACATTCGCTCAATTGCATACCCTCTGGTTAGGTTGAGGGCTGCATTTTAACCACGGATGCTCCTGCTGATCCGGCGGTTCTGATTTCACTTCGGATCTCGGAGGATCCTCCTTCTCCTCTTGCTGCTGATGTTCCTGCTCCTCATCACTTCCTTTCGCGCGTTTCACGCCAATAGAGACACCAAACAACCTTGGACTGCCTTCCTCCTCCTCCGTCTTCACTCGGCTCTGGCCCACGCCGGTATCGGCATTGTTATCCTCCGCAAATCGCTTCACTGGCAATAGATCCAGCGGCGACGATGGCTTTTCCGCTAGGAAGCTAGCGTTTTCTTGCTGGCTATTCGCATACTTGGTCATCAAAGCAAGGATACTGTTGCAAAGGTTCTTCATCTGTGTTAATTCGTGCGTCAGATGCATATTCTCTTTCCTAAGCCGTTCGTTCTCATCGAGAAGCTCTGCCGTGCTGCTGCAGCTTGTCGTTCTACACACCGTAGCGGCAACGGCCGATGGGGATGAAGTCGAGGATACCACTTGGTCATCACCGGAATTTGTCGGAGACCCTGTCCGAACGGCCGGAGCCGTGGCTGTCGTAACAGTAGATACAGCTGCAGCCGGTGATATTTTCCGGCGATGAATGTCGCAGAGAAGTTTTTTTTCTCCTCTACGGAAGCAGTCGTTTGCGAATTCCCATCGATCAGGAACAATCTTTCGGAAGCCCTGCACGATTGGGAGATATAAAGAATTAGATTTCTATAGACATTGAAAATAAAGAAAGATCGTATCTTGGAGCTAAAGAGAAAAGAAAGGTAATACATTTTTTAGGCATTGAAAAGCATAAAGCAAACAAAAAATAGATTCTTGTGCGGTAACAAGAAAAGATACTAACATATGTGTTAAGTTGTCGAACGAAGCTTGAAAAATTGTTGTGCTTGAAATATTTGGGAAGCAGATCTCTGGCGAACTCGGCCGGTCTCCAGACTATGAACGTGGAACCGTCCTCGTTCCACGAAATCACGTCGTCTATCGAAGGATCATCCACAAGCTGGTACGTTTTGGTGAGAAAAGGTGTCGGCAGAGATCTCTGCCCATCGCCAGTCGTTGATTCGCCGATCTGTTCCACCGGCGGTGGAGCCATGAGCTCTAGCAGTCCCTATCCCTATCTCCAGAAACGAATCTAGAAAGAAAGGAGAGGTATTAGAGCGTAAGATCTAAGATTAGAGATGAGAAATCTACGCGGAGAAAAATCTAGCGACGAGAATTTTCGATTAGGAGAAGGAGGGATCAATTCATCGGGAAGCTTGAATAAGATTGGGATTTGGGAGGGGTGTAAACCAGGGGAGAGAGACGAATCGGCGAGATGTTTCTCTGTTGGGAGGTGGTGGTGGTGTTTCTAGAAACTTCCGTTGTGAGAAGGTAGGATTAGCAATTTAGCAGCACAAAGAAAAGGAAGGCAACGAGGAGAAAGGAAAGCGTCCCCACAGCCACGGGGTGGGAGAAGAGAGGACAGGACAGAAGAGAAGAGAAGGGAAAGGAAGGCCCAAGAAGTTCCCTCCCGTCTTACGTCTTTTCCAGAAGCTTCTCCCCAGTACTCCTCCCCTTATCCGGTTCTTTATTCCACGTGTCGGTGAATATCGTGGAGTCATTTACCATAAAAATTCCCATATGGAGATAAGGTTACGGCATCTACAGGAGAAACCGGTGGGGATGGGTTAATAAACCGCAGGGCTAATAAACAGTAACTGGAAGGCTTGCCAGCTGGCGCTTGCATATAATAAGGAAAAAACTTAAATTTTGATTGAATGAAGATAGAAGATTTGAAGAATAAATTAACACGCGTTGACAGTAGCGTGCATGCGTGGAGGTGGAGTAAAAGATGCATTACTCGTTTAAATGCAGACCGGCAATGGCAATCGCAATTTTCACCCTACTCAGTTGGTTGGACAGATTTTTTTGGGTAAATTACAAAGGCCCCGACTATGGGGTCTGTGACAAAGACCCCTGTACTTTATTTTGCGAAAAAACCCTTTGTACTATGGTCATGAGATAAAGATCCCTCTTGGCCATTAAGTCAGATGATGGAATGTATTAGATTATCAAAATATCCCATTAAATTTTTTCTTTTTTTTCTGCCCTTTTTTTCTTAAAACTTAACATATTATTTTTTCTTTTTTCTCTTCTTTTCCGTTCCCTCATTGTTTTCTCTTATTCTTYCTCTCTCCCAACTCTCAGAAAAGACGAAAGAAACTCATTTCTCATCTTCCCTTTCTTCTCTTCTCTTGTCTTCAATCTCGTCCTGAACTTTGACCCCTCTAAAATCCTCCTTCCACATTATAAATAAATTATTGAGATTTAACCCTTTTTTTGTTAGTTTGAATAGGTAAGGCAGCCCAATGCACGAGGCTTGCTCAATGGGAAGGGATAAAGGTATGCAGCCTTACCCATAATGCAAATGCATACAGATTTTCTCTCTTTAGTTCGTCCACACTTCACGGGAAAATTTTCTTTTTCTCTCCAACCAATGGTTCCATTACCTTTCTCGATTTTCTTTTTCATTAGCTTATCTATCCTTCCTTTTGATTTCTTTTTAAATTTGCTTTTGATAACCCCATTTGTTTAATGGATCTCAGTCGTCGTTAAAACTCCTACCTCTTTATCTTTTAATCCTTTTTGAACTGTTGATATTAGTTGTAATAGATAGGCTGATGATCTTTGGTGGCAATTTCTTTTAAAAGGATGTGTTTCAACTTTTCCTTACTCTTTTCAATATATCAGTTTTGCATTTCATCATTGAGATGATATGTGGAGTTCTTTAGGTGGTAGATTTCTGTTATTAAGCATTGTTTGTCATTTTCAACTTCTTACTTGGTACTCTTTTCGATATACGGGTTTTCTGTTTTGTCCTTGAGATGATATGTGGAGTTCTGTTTTCTGTTTATTCATGGAGAGAATGAGATGTTTTTCTTAGGATAAATTTGCATAGATAATGAGCCCCTTCTTCTATTAATTGTATCTTTTGTTAATAAGCGTTATCTAAATCAACAAAGTGAAAGGAGAGCGTTTAGTGTCTTGCATTGTGGAGTCATAGATTTAATTTCTTCTATTTTTCTAATTTGATGCTTGTAAATATACAAAGGGATATGATCATAATCACCTTTTGTTGCAGAAATTGAAAAAATCCTCTCAAGGAGCAAGCCTGGTATTAACCAGGACAAACTTGCAGAAACTCTACAATTTCAAGGAGCAGAAAAATCCAAAGATATTTTGAAATCATAAGTTTGACAAGGGAAGAAATAATGACGGCCACTGTGGAGGTTGCAACAGAGAACAAGGATGAAGACAAGAAAAACATTTTGGTAGGCATTCGAATGGATAGATATGGTCAAGACTTGATTAATTGGGCCCTTATTAAAGTTTCTGAACCAAGGGGAGCGCGTAGTTGCAGTCAATATTTGTTGAGAATCTGGTAATGGTAGTTGTCTTTTTTTTTTTTTAATTAAAAAAGCAGTAATGGAGAGAGAGATCGAGATTGAATTAGATGGGTTCAATACCGATACTGTTGTGAAGGAACAGAAGGGTAGTATTGGAAGGTCAGGAAAGATGAACAGTATTTTTCTCGTCAAGTTATTACAAGGGTAATATAGGGATTAAAAAATATTGTAATGGCCTTTTTGAACAGAAGACTAAGGGGTCTTTGTCTCACGGTCATAGTACAAGGGGGGCCTTTATAATTTACCTTTTTTTTTAATTTCCCATTAGTACCTTGTAAAATTTGGGCCTAGTGTCATTACTTTAAAATGCAATGATTTAATATTCGAACTTTTAAAATATAACAATGGTTACAATCCAATATTCACCGTTAATCACCAGTTAAATGACATGTGAAAAGATAAATGCTTTTCGGGTTTCATTTAAGGGATTATAACTGATAAGGGAAACTTTTTGATCTTATTATCAATAAAAATAATCTTTTCAAAATAATTTATAGAATAGGATAATTTTTTAAAAAAAAGTAAAAATACTGTTCATTTTCTTTCTCCTTAAATAATTACTGCATACTCTTGCATTAGTGAACACAGGAACAAGATACAGACCAATCTCAGAAACATAAACGTCACAATCAGAAACATAGACAGACGTCAAGAACCGGACTACTATATTTACAGGAAGATATATGCAGGGAAACAATTGAAACTACAGTATTTAAAACATATATACATATATACATCGATTCAAGAATTTCCATTATCCTCGATACCTAATTAACAATATGCGAAGCGAAACCTTGACCGCTTCAGCAGACCGAAACTAGTCTCATCGAGACCTTCTCCCTAGAAGGATCTCCAATGCCACCCGCCAGAGTCCGAACCATCCTCTTGAAGGCAAAATGCATGCAATTAGAAAGAACGAACCAACAAAGTACCTCGTATACGAAATCGAACGCAGGATCAGAAGATGATGACGATGATGACTCCTCCCAATCGGATCCTCCGAATCTGTCGAAATCCAACCCTCTACCACCATTGCCGCCGCCACTGCCTCCGCCAAACGGACCATCACCGCCGTCACCGAAGAACCCATCCTTCTCGCCGATGTCAAAATCCCCCGTCAGAGATCTCCTCCTCGTACGTCTCTTTTGCCTAGTGAGTGTCCGGGGAGCGGCTCTGTAAGAATTCGATCTGACTGTCGGCGGAGCCATGACATCCACAGGAGAAAATCTAGCAGAGATTGACAGAATACCAGCGAGGGAGGAAGCATCATAAGAGGAAATGTTGCATAGTGCAGAGCGACGCAAATGAAATTTGGCAACCCCTAGACCTTGCGTTGCGATTACTGTAACAGGGTCTGCAATGGCGGAGATCTCCATGATTTCGAATGGATTTTGCAGAAATTCGACTGATTTCGGATATTTTAGAAGAATAAGAAGCAACTCTGCTCCAAACTCAGATGCAAAGTAGAAAAGTAGAAGAAGAAAGAAGAGGAAGAAGGAGGAGAAAAGAGAAAACAGAGACTAGAGGTGGGGAGATTTATTCGATGATGAAGGAGTAAGAAGATGAGCATTGTTTTTACCCTTTTTTTATATTTTTTAAAAAAAGTTACGTAGAATTCTTTCGATCAATTCGTCTTCCCTGAATATGGCCGTTCGGCGTATCGACTAGAGGGGATATCAGATATCTTACGACTAAATCCTTATCTTTTGAATCACGCTTATCAAACCATACGCATTCGTCTGTATTGGCCGGTACACACCAATACGGGATATACGGATTGACATGTTTCTCGCATGTTTATTTGTAAAAAATGCGACTAAAGCCTTATTTACACCTTCAATCCACAAGGTCACCTTTCACCTTATGAAAATAAATGAAATAAAATAATATTTTCTCAATTCTAGTGTGCATATATAATGCGGACGGATACATACATTTGTGTTTAATGATTCCATCAAAATAAAAAAATAATATTTAAAACTAATAGAATAAATAATTTCTTAAATCCACATTTATATAAAAAAATTGGTTAATCTCAAGAAATTTATATGAATAAAGATATTGATAATAGAATAATTATTTTAGTACTTAATATTTATAAATTTGAACATGATACGTATCTTAAAATTTTATAAATTATTAATTACTATTTTAATTTGAACTAAATAAAAGTATATATATATTATTTATAAAAATAAAAATATTATTTACAAAAACCTCGAGAATATAATATCAATTGAATTTTTCAAATCCATTAATCAACATTTATATCAAAAAAGGGAAAATTCTAGATTAGTACGACGTACTTTGGGTCTAGTGCCACTTTGGTCCCTAAACTTTAAAACGTGACAATGTAGTACCCAAACTTTCAATACGTGCCAATCTAGTACCTGCCATTAACTAACCCATTAAGTGCCATTTGAAAAGACACAAATACCCTTCAAGTGTCATCTAATTCTCTTTATCAACCATCCAAATGTTGACAAAAAATAACAGTCCCAAATCCTTGCTTTTCTGTTCAAGAAAGTTGGGGTCACCAAAATATCCACTAAGATGTAACTCCAACTTTCTTGAATATAAGAGGCAAGGATTTGGGACTGTTATTTTTTGCCAATGTTTGGATGGTTGATAAAGAGAATTAGATGACACTTGAAGGGTATTTGTGTCTTTTCAAATGGTACTTAATGGGTTAGTTAATGGCAGGTACTAGATTGGCATATATTGAAAGTTTGGGTACTACATTGTCACGTTTTAAAGTTTAGGGACCAAAGTGGCACTAGATCCAAAGTACAAGGTACTAATATGGAATTTTCTCATCAAAAAATGATTTTTTATCTCAAAATTTATGGAAATAAAAATATTAATAATGGAATAATTATTTTAGTAGTTAAAAATTATAAATTTGCATATGTTTTGTATCAGTGTATCTTAGAAAGTTTAATATATTTGATATAATTTAAATTAATGTTATATATTTTTATAAATTTTTAATTGATATATTATTTACATTTTATAATAACGTGTTTATTGTTTAGAAAAATAAAAATATTGTTAACTAAACATTTTAGAATTAATTTTTAATTGACTTTTGGTTAATATTAAAAATTAAAAATAGAAAATAATAGATATAATAATTCACATATAATAGTTGCATATGTTTTGTGCCTTTAAATTCAATAGAAAATGACACAATAATAGCTTTATGCATGTATTATTTTTTTTAAAAAAATATAATATGTTCCAGGATTCTTGATTGATACATTATCAATAAAGTTTTATGATTTCTATGCATCCCGCTAGAAAATAATCAGTATAATAATTCACATATAATAGTTGCATATGTTTTGTGCCTTGAAATTCAATAGAAAATAACATAATAATAGCTTTGTGCATGTATTAATTTGTTTTTTTTAATAGTATTAATTTGTAAAGTGTGTATGTGTGTGTGTATATATATATATATATATATATATATATTAATGTTCCAGGATTCTTGATTGATACATTATGAATAAAATTTTATGATTTATATGTACCTTGTTATATTAATTATAGTATATTTCTTCATATGTACCTTTAGAATATACATTTTTTATGTATTTATACATTAATTATAGATTTTTTTATCTTAATAAAATGTTATTAATATATTTAAACATATCTGTATACATATTAGAATAATCCGATACGATACCCGATACCAATATCTGTATACATATTTACGATACGAATTCTTATATAGTCTTATCCTTGTTTGCCTCTTGTACAACCTTTCTTGAGCCTTTTGTAGGGCAGCATACCTGACTCACCAACCAAACCATCTTTTCTTTTCGGTTCCTTTGGGAAGAAGTTGCTGTGTTGCGTTGTGTTTCTATGTGTTATCTACTTACTATTTGGTAGGCCGTGATTAAGGTTTGACTTTGCTTTGGTTTCTGGGTGTAGTACCTCAATTCGAATTCAGTGCATTTGGATTTGAAGGGATTTTTTCTTCGAATCCATTAATATTTTGACACATCATTCAGTGTTTAATTGACCATCACTTACAACCGATTGAAAACTTATTACTAATAAAAATATTTTTAAATAAAAATTGATAAGTTAAGCTAATGCTGAGAGAAAATTCCAATGCGCTCGTTTTCAAACGGAAACAGAGGTTAAGATGCCTATCATGGTGGAAAATAGAGTGATCGATATAGGCGAAGTAACCAGGATTAACACTGTCGGCACATACAAGGTCATAGAGGATGATGTGGTAGTGCTGAGAAAAATAGGGTAGTATGCACTGTGAAGCTGATTGATCGGTGCCAAAGCCGTAGGCGAGGACGAAGATCTTGTCGCCGGTACCGGCAACCCTGACATTGAGTGCTTCTAAGAGTGTTTTTTTGAACAGGACCCTCTATGACTACAATTCTACGAGAAGCACTCCAGAGTTAGCCTCTTCTTCTTCCCCATCTCCCTCTCTACGGCGCTCATCCTCTTCCAAGTTAGTTTTCTTCCCCTTCCATCACGACCAATTACAGTTAGGGAGCCTAAATACAGGGTATCGAGTTATGGAAGAGAGAATTCACCGTGCCAACTGGTTCTCCTTCTCTTACTTTTGATGTGTCATGAAATGGTTGGAATCGAAGGGAAAATCCCTTCGAGTCCAAACGCACCGAATCGGAATTGGTTGTACCTCTTTCTATGTACACCTCCATGTTACCTCCACCGTATGTGGGCGTCACGTCAAAGTTGCCGCTGGGCAGCTTCCTCATGGGTGTCGCCATCCTAKCTCGTCACGGGCATTATTCTTGGTCACCTAAGGCTGAATGCTTTGAATTTACCAGCCCCGTGAATTTAGCAAATGATGTACACTAAAACTTACACCTCTATTTCATCTGAAGATGATGATGAACAGTGGTTTACAATCAAGTCTCGAATACAACTAGTTATAGTCAATTATTTCCCCTGGCATATTGGAATCTACCTACCACTGTAACTCACCTGAAGTTCAGTGTGCTACTTACTCGGATTTGACCTTTCAGASTAACAGCTTGCGACAGGTGTTAGTAAGACCAGTTTTCCCGTGCATTTATGTGCTAACGTCGAGATCGTCGACTTTCTGTAAAACAAACCCATGACAGATTTTCATCTCCCAGGACCCTCAGAAGATGATCATCAACGGTGATGGAGTGGTTTGGGTGTAATGGTGTAATACAACAACAGCAAAAGAAGGAGAGGCTGACATTCGGGTTTCTTCTTCTTCTTCTTCTTTCCCCAAGGACTGTAATTTACTGGGTCTTCCGTATTCTATGACTATTTGAACTTAAAGAATCTCCACTCACCTTTAAGTTCTCATCCTTGGGAGGTAGTTCAACTTCTTCATGATTTTTTTTTTTTTTACTTTTTTCTTAACTCACCACGTTTACATGCTATTTGTCTCTGATTCATTGTTTATAGATCACACACCTTTCGATTCTTTGTCATATGTTCTTCAATTCTCCTCTCCTTTCCTTTATAAGCACAGCCACTCCAACAAAAGCACTCTATTGCTTCCTGGTTTCTATATAGTTTTCTTATTAGTGAGGAGTGAACAGATTACACTGCTCAAGAGTTCTATTCCAGCAAAAGAGGAAAGAAGAAAGGGAAACGTATTCTAGAGAGATAGTAACGGCTTTAACGCTTTCCCTTCTATTCTTCCTCTGCTGTGTCCTAGTTTCCACTATAGTGAAAAAACTTGCTAGTAAGTTTCTGAGAAAACCGAAACGTGGGTTTTCATCCTTTTTTATTCATCTCTAACCTCTTTTTGTTTCATTAATAGATGCTAAGGCTGAGTTTGGAAGGAGTACAAATGCAAATATGTAGAGTGAAAAACCTTATATTTTGTATGTATTTACGCTGTACATATTTGTATTTGTACTCTTTCTAAACTGAGCCTAAACTACGGTTAGTTGGGCAACAATCTCCCATCACAATCTTGTTCAATTGAGTTCACCAAAACCTTGGAAGTAGATGGTGAACAATGTTTTATTTTCAAGGGTAATTTTGATATTTTAAAAAGTCTTAAGTTGCACATGATGTCACATGATACATGATACTTCACAATCTGGTCACTCCTAATTGGCTGAGTGTTGGATCTTAGCTGTGATGGACGACACCTAAGAGGAAGAAGAAGGTGAAGGGTTCCCGGGAAGCTCTCCCGGAGGGAACACTCCGATGGCTAAGTTAGAACTTTGAGGAAAACTCAAAGAAAATACAGAGAGTTAAGAGTGCTGAAAGTGTTAGCTTCAATACCTTTGCTTTGTGAGGGTTGGGGTTCTTTTATATCGGAGCTCGATCACATCTGATATAACTGCCACTGCCCTAGCCATTACTACTAGGGCAGGTGTGGCGGGCGCAGGTTGCTGCTATGGGTTGCCATTGCAAGGTACAAACTCGACAGGCGTGCCATGCTTTTCAGAGACGACAAACAGAACGCTGC